CCGCCAACGCCAGGCGGCCCGGGCAGGCCAGCGGCGTGCCCAGCCGCCGGGGGCAGCTGCCCTGCAGAGAGCCTGCTGGCCAGGCTAGCGCAGAGAAACCACAGTCCCACAGACACCCGCCCGCTGCCTTCACCTTGGTGTAGCATCTGCACCACAGCCCAGCAAACCCATACAGGGAGCAAGTACCGTGGGGTACCCAGCCCTGCAGCTGCACAGGCCCAAGGAGGAATTTCTCCCTCACACTGCTAGACCACCTACACAACTTCCACCACAGCCTGCTCACCCCCAGAAGACCTCTCTGCGGCCAAGGAAAGTTAGCATCATCCTCTCCCCAAGCAGACTTAGACCACTGATTCCTTCCACCTGTTTGTTTTCCCCTCCCCTTTCTAGACAATCAGACAAACCCAAAGCCTCTGTTGCTGATGCTGGTATCTGTTGCTAAAAAGAAACAGGTGAAGGACACTTGCACTAATTAACAAGGAGGACATCTTCAAATGACTTCTTTAAAAGCTTAAAGGCCTTGAGAACAGAAATTTCTCCTCAGGAAAACGTGGGTTAGTAAAGGCGTAAGGACTTCAGAAACAGAGGGGCATTAGATGAGCTAGGCCTTTTAAAGGCATCCTCAGCAGCTGTGGTCTTTCCTAGAAGCTGCCCTTAATGTGTTATGCTCTCTTTGGCAGTGGCTAGCCTTTTGACATCCAGACAGGTGATGCACAACCAGGTTGTTAGGAAAAATCAAGAGACAGGCTTTCTGGAGCCTTGCCTGTATTCTGAACTTACCGGTACTATTTAAGATCCCCAGGTTTATAATGCATCTCATCTGTACCAACAGCTGGACTGTCAGGTTGGCTCATCTGTTATCTGAGCTTGCAAGGATACTTCCTCTGGAATTCTGCCAAGTTCCATTTTTCAGACATTTAGGGAATAAGCAACAATCATAACAACTAATGCTTCAGCAGCAATTCCCCTCCAAAAATCATGCACAGTTTTATAAATGTTAATTAACTGAGCTTTACAGTACAGGTGGGAAACAGCTGAATGGCATTTCTTCATCCCTGTAACTTGCAAATGGGAAAACTGAGGCACAGCATTCTGTAAGGTTATGTTTTATCTGGAGTAACTAAGTTTTTGATGTTCATTTTTCCAAGCACTTTAAGTGGATTTGGTATATCTTTTGAGGTGTATGCTAGAACAAGGGTGTGACTCAGCCTACTGGAAACTGGGTGATCTGGCTGATTTGGATGTTTCATGCAATCTGGGTCATGGATCATTTGCACAAAGGACAAGGGATGGCCTTGTGCTAATTCATATATCCTCAATTCAAGGGACCCTCTACCTACACTACACAGACTGCATACTTAACACAGCTTTACTCTTCAACTATTTCTTCACATAAATGCCCTAGGTTGAGTATCCCAGTATCTCCTTGAGCTGTTTGTTAGGAACTGGAATGTCTTTTGTCTGCATCTTGAGGACTAAGGAGGGAGACTGTGTGGTGAGGGATTTGAGTCTCAGTTTTGCTTCTATTCAGCACATTCTTTTTTTTTTTCCCTCCTTGCTGCTCTCATTAATTACTTCCTCATGTGCTGGTTCCTGCCTGAGAAACACTGGGGATTTCTGAGGTTTTGACAGAAAGGACTCTGGAATGGTTTAAAACCCTGAATTAGGGAATGTCTGTCTGAGTGAGATTTGACTGTTGAAGTTTTTGCGATCTAGCACTTTTACCCTTCTACTGCTGTGAGAAAAACTCAGTTATAGATTGAGCTCCATATTTCTACACCAGAGTTAGGGCCAGATGAATTGTACAGCCCCAGCAGACAGCACAGGGGTTTGCTTCTTGCTTCTGCTCCGCAAGTATTTATGTTATGTGTCCTGCCAGTGAAATCTTAGTAACCTGAGAATTGATTCCACAAAAGCAAGCTTGTCCACAAAATGGAAAAATAACATCAATGAGAATGGACATCCCTCTTTCAGGGAATATTCCCCCTATATTCAAAGCCTCTGTTCTAATACCCTTGCCCCAGACCGTCTTCTTCAGATAATTCACTTTACTGTGCCTAATTTATATTTTAATATTTTAGTCAGACTAGATCTTTATGCTTATCTGACTAGGATAACTAGAAGCTCTCCTTGCCAAAGATTTCTATGCACCAAAGGAAAAGGGAACATCTTCAAGGGCTAGTTTTGATATCTACCCACTATTCATTTTTGCATTTTTTTTTCTTTCAATCATGCATTTTTGTGAAAGGGGGTTGCCAAGCCAGTCAGCTCAGAGGGTGCTTCCTTGAGCAAATTGCCACAACATCCCACATCCCTAGAGGTCCACAGCCGCTAGGCATGAATATTTTCATGAAGGTACAGAAGAGAAGAGAAGCACCTTGAGCGAAACAAATTGCCCACAGGTGACAGCCCTTCTCAAATCTTACTCCAAACCCTTTGTGCCTCAGAGATTATTTGATCAGAGCATCTCTTTTTGCTTCCTCTAATCCAATGGGTGATCACATTTGATGATAGCCTTAAAATAATAATCTGGATAAAACAATTCCCCTGAGAAAGCTCAGAATGTGTGTACTTGTAAAGAAAATGTCACTTTTCTCCCTATAGAGCAAGCTCTGAGTATTAACCATCTGCACAAATAATACAGTGCTGGAAAGCTCCATCATTTTAATCAGAGCTTTGGATTTCATAGCAGGTATTTAATCAGCTGAGTGAGTGTTTTCAGCCAGGTTACGTAAATGTTGTCAAGAATACCAAGTGTCTAAAAAAGATGCACGTAAGAGGTGTACATCAGTGCAAGTAGGATGCAAGCTTTATTGCTCAGAGGTTGCAGTTTCACAAGTATTTTTTTGAAAGCATCTGATCAATGGCAACATCCATTGAAAGTGACTGAGCAGGGCATTTTCTGCCCTTACAGCCCTTACCAGTCTTTTAAGTGACATCCTAGGTGACCCACTTTAGGGATCTGGTGCATAAATATGGGAGGGCATAGGCTGAGTAGAGGAGTTTGAGGCAGGAACCTAGTGTATGAGGAGTGATAGGCAGAAATATTCACAAAATAAAATGTTCTCAAGTGCGCATACATACATGTACGTGCATGTATTTACAGTGTTAGAAGTGTCTGTATTTTATGCACCTCCTGCCACAAACAGAAATTCCCAATTTCTTTCTTACAGGAGTGAAAATATGCTGCATTAAACAATTCCCAGAGGCAGCTCTTGACTCAGTCTCTCCAAGGTTAAGGGGCAAGGAAGCTGAACGTTCCTTCCTGTAACAAGAAGTGACAGCTTCTTATTAGGATCCATTAAAAGGTGCCTCAGGGAACTGATGGGACCATTTTTCAGAATGCATTGTTTAAATTATTTCTTGTATTAGAAGGACATGCTGGCTGATCTCAGTGGAGCTCAGCTATCTTCGTTATCTTCCCCAAGCCTACATGTGTATTTTGAGTCACCTCAGAGCTGTGCCATGCCTACAAGTCAGGATATGTGATCTCTAGAAATCCTGATGCTCTCACAGCCCTGTCACACTTTATGGAAAAGAGCTGAGCAGATATATGTCCACGGCCATAGTGTACGAGAATGTGAATGAGGGGAACATAATGAGCATAAACCCTAGCTCTTTGAGGTACCAGGTTTTAGAGTCAATCATCATCTAGGAGACTATTCTATGGAATAGTCCTTGAGACTATTGAGCTGGAGCCCAAGGAGATCCATGCTTACATCCACTAACTACTATAAGATATATCAACACAGCTAACAGGTCAACAACAGTAGAAAGCCATTCTCCATCTATAAAGACTGTTGGTTTCTTCAAGTTCACAGCCTCTACCTTAAATATAGGGCAATCAAGGTACAGATAAATTGCTTCCTTGAGGCCTTAAAGAACCATACTCCAACCCCAGTTTAGCACACAGTAGTGTTCTCAGCTCTTCAAGCAGAGCACAGCTCTGCAGCAGAAAGAGCAAGGAAGCATTTTATACTAGCACTGCCAGAGATGTTCCAAAATGCATTCAGGGAGCTGAGATCATTTTGAATCCACCTTATTCAAATCCACCCCAATGATTTTGACTTTACTGCAGGATCCAAGCTGGAAGGAACCTGTCCTCCAAGCACCTGAGATCTAAAAACTGCAACACATGCAAGACTAACCAAATTTGATAACGGCAGAAGCCCCCAGACAAATTATTGTAAGACCACTCCGAGACAACCCAGATTCAGCTATTCCTATTGAAAAGCACCCCTCCAAATTCCAGCATAAAATGGTGGGTGTCTGGATATTTTGGCATACTAACTGGTACTTTCCTTGAAACTCCAGCTCCTTGAGTCAAAGGATTATAGGAGAAACTCATTACTCTTTGAAAAACAATTTATATTCCAAGCACTCATAATGACGAAAATGCTCCACAATGTGATTTACTTGCATGTTAATTCTGGTGGAACAAGAAAGAAGATTTACCTTTTATTTCCTCCTCATCTTTCACAGTTTGGACTGGTAAACCTCCTGCAAAGAGAGCACCTTGCCTTGACTGAGAAGAAGCTGTTCTGAACTAGTCTGGCATTCGGGTTCCTTTTCGACCAAAAGCAA